TATACAACAAAGTAGACACAAGTGTGCGCCAATCGCTGACATTTATTGACAGTTACGTATGTGCAGGTGTGTCTGCATAGTTGATATAACTCACGATTAAATATCCTACCTGATTGCACTAGGTCTGGAGCTTCTTGGTCCCCCTCAGAGGTCGACAACATATGAAACATATTTCTATGTTCATGGAAATAAATACATCTTAACGCTAACATCGTTTGCTTCAGGTATCCGTCCGAAGGTTTAGAGCACGGAGTTGCACAGAACGGATCTGGCCCACTTGACTTGCGCAGTCATGAAAACTTTGGTCAGGCAGAAAAGATTAGCTTATTAAAATAATACGAATGGTCGGCAAGCTTCAGCAAAGCAAAAGGTTTGTCACGCCTTATGAGCGACGGACGAAACAAAAACAGTTCACTTCATCCTCAGTCACTCTTGGTTTCTTCGTTGAGGAAGAGGCAATTTTTCAGTTGTGATAGTCTCCCTTACACCTTCATGATTGGGTGCCATTTGAGACAATCTTGCTGTATGAAGCCGATGATGTGCAGCTAACTTCCATTTCTTTGGCGAACCAGTGAGAGTCTTTGTTGTTTATTTACACGGCCTGGTGAAAATTGCAATGTTAAATTTCCTGCTTCCTTCTAAAGAAGTGATATTCGGTTGTCGGATAGGTAGGAAAAGGATTTTGGTAGGACGAAAAGCGACTTATTTGATCAGGGCTTGGACTTTAGACCTCTCGATCTCGAGTTCAATACTACACCGACTGAGTAACCTCAGCCTGGACAGGGTGGAGTAACTATGATGAATCCGTTGCCACTGTCAAATAACGCGATTGGATGTTGCGGAGCGAACCACTATCATCATGACCTATTTTTCCAAAGAAGAAGTACTCATCCAAAAGACAGTGCCGCTTTAGCATATTAGATGGAGAAATTCATCATTCTCAAATCACCAGCTGCTTTCGAACAGAGTACCAAATCACATAGCCAGCAGTACACCGTTTTGTGAGGTGGCTCGGCATCGAATGAAATGGTAAATAAGGTAAACAGAAGAGGTGAGCGTCATGTTGCAATGACTGCTATATAACAAGTTGCTGAAATCAACAGCTGACAGGAGAGAGGAAGTTTCAAACAGATCACAAATTAAAACGCCAACGCAAAATTGCGGACTGATTGTGAATATGGCAAGAACATAAAAGTCAAACCAAATGCAGTATAATACATCAGACCTTGAATTCCGCTTTTGTAGTCATCAACTTCTGGACCAAAGTTAAAAAGTAGTTGACATTAATAATGGATTTTTTATAGACAATAAGCAAAACACGGTGGTCAAAGTGGCTGACTTTGACCAGATGATAGTTCGGTCCACTTGATGCATTGGACTGCGGTAAAAAGACCTATTTTTAATATTGGATCGCCTGTTGGTGAAGAAATGGAAGTGGTAAAGGAACAGCTGAAACAGAATGAGAAGGCGCCGTTGTCAGCCACTTGGCAATGTTATCTGTCTGTAACCGAGACCTCCAGAAACATCTCATTTACTGGCATCCGTTTAGCTAGATGACGATTGAGCCAACACTGACTACAGTCAACGACAGTCGACGACCGAAACAATCCACTTGCTTTTATGTCTCGTTCACAAACAGAGCCAATTTGACTGACGGATGGATCAAAGTTCGATGGATACCATAGGGTTAAGTTTTTAGACGGTATCTGAAGTACAGAATGGACCATGCGAAACGAAGGTGCGTGGCGATGTTCGAATGAAAAACTTTAAAATTAGGGCACGTACACAGTAGGCACAAAGACCAGGTAACTAAACACTGATTGTGTGGTTCCCGAATTTGATGGAGAACGCATAGCAATAAAAAGAAACGCAAGTTAGGTACAGAGCAAAGCAGATTTAGCTAGTAGCTTTGTAAAACTGTGAACTCGGCCATTAGAAGCGAAAAAGGAAAGAAAAAGGCAAATTCCGCTGTTTTTTCTTTTGACCTCAGGACGCCGTTGAGTACCGCCGTTGTTTGTCTTATGTTACGGTAAGTCCTCAAACTCCTCGTTAAGAAACCTGACAATTCGTTATGTAAGGTAGACAACGGCGAGCATCGGTAAAGAAAATTTTTGAATTTGTCACATTTGCGATGGAGAGCAGATCATGCTTTGTCACGCCAATCATGTACGGTTTCGGTATGCTTGCTGTACCTGCTTCAGACGTCGTTTCCAAACTCGATTGGTGGTTGTTCGGCGTCGATTGCTGTTGCTGTTGTGGCTGTGACTGTTGCTGAACAACACGTGACGAGTCACCGGTCAGTAAAGGGTGCTGCTGGATGTCGCCTCGTTGCGTTGCCGCGGGCGAATCCACCGGACTGCCGGCACTGATCATGGCACCGGATGACGGGTAAGAGCCGGCGTTCGACGGCGACACGCTACCGTTGACCGCCGATCTGCGTGCAGTGTTGGTCAGGATACGGTTGCCCGGCTGTGAGGCAGGAATTCTGGTCTGAAATAATAAATAAATAAAATTAATACGTCACAATATCCGTCACATAAATCTGATTGCATAAATTTTATGCTTCACCCTCCCCC